AAAAAAAAAAAAAAAAGAGCAGAACGGATTAGGCGAACGTAACCATGCGCAAGGCAGTTGTGTTTCGTTACATTCTGTTTTTGCACATCATAAGATATCATACCGTATCATATCAGTGCATTTTTTTTTTTTCTCTCTTTTTTTCTTTTTTTTTCGTGGTGTAGTTCAGATATAATCACCCTGCGGAGAGGTATCCCCAGGGAGCAACCAGTCACTCTAGCTTTTTTTTTTTTTCTTCTTCTTTTTTTTCTCTCACCAACGCCCCAGCATTTCGTCTCCATCCACGGAGGGTAGAGCAGCCGGGCCGTGTACGCTGCTCCTTCTTGAGAAGAAACATGTGACCAGCGGCAGGAAAATGGTACCCCCTGCGGTGCAGGGCAGTTTAGCTCGCCAAAGCAGCACACGACACTCCTCCACACGTGCCCTTTTGGCCAATCCGACGATATCGCACACCGGCCGATACGTATATACACAAATGCGTACAGTCACGTACAAGCACGACCACGGTTAGAAGAAAAAAGCAAAGGGACAGCGAAGCCATCACCACCTCCTTTTTTTTTCTCATCAGCCAAGTGACGAATAGGCAACATGACGACCATCCTTCCGAAGCGCGCGATCCCCTACGTTGTCCTAACTGGCGCCTTTTTATACAACCTAAACATAGGTGGGTGAAGGAGAGACGAGACGGTCAAGGGGGGGCTCTCCCTACCTCCCAGATATAGGAACAGAATGAGCTGTACCTCACCCGTTTACGTCCCACACATCCGCAAGTGTACTTCACCCGCTTATATTGCACACATCCGTAAGTCTACGTTACCTGCTTGTTCTCGCTCATGTCTCCCTCCCCCTTACCCCTGCGCAGGAATCATCAATTCGTATGGCAACCTTAACATATACCTGACCTCCTACCTGAGACACAAGGGCGAAAATGTAACCTACAGGGATGTGTCTTTTATATATGAGCTGACGATAATCATGCTGGGGGTGTCTATGCTGATTGGAAATGTTGTGCAGAAGAAATTAGGAGAGAGGGCAACCATATTGACTTGCTGCTTCACATCTTTTATCTCCTTTTATCTGTCCTCAGTTTATGCTCACTCGTACTTGATGCTTTGTCTGTTCATGGGGGGGCTTTACGGACTGGGATATGGAATCAGTTTCACCATTCCGCTTTCGTGTGCATACAAGCATTTTAAAAAGAACCGAGGGTTGGTCAGTGGAATTGTCATCTCTGCAATATCGTTGAGTCCATTTCTGTATTGCCCATTACAGACTCTGCTTATAAATAGAAACAACGTCTTGCCAGTCGAGAGGCCTGCAGATCACAGTGGTGGACCCAAGGAACGCTATTTTGAAGACCCCCATGTGCTTGAGAGAATCCCCCATGTCCTTTTCATCCAGTCTGTGGTCTTTCTCATTTTTGCCACATGTGGTGCTTTTTTCGCAACGATGGAAGTAAGGGGAGGGGGGGAAAAACAACTCAGTAGTGGTAATCTCGATGGAGGAAACAAGAACAACAAACAGTTGGATGCACAGTATAGGAGCCTCAGTGATGTGGAGAAGAATGACGAACAAATGGGAATCACCACGGAGAAGAATAAGGGAGACCAAAACGATGTAACAAATGAGACAGATAACTTGGGGTCCCGACTAGCCAAATCTTTTAAAAAAAAAAAAAAAAAAAAAAAATTGGACGGAGCGTTAAAGGATGAAGATGGAGAAGATGGGGAAGATGAAGAAGGCATGCCAAATGGGAAGAAAAAGAAGAAGAGAAAGAAAAATTTTATGCATTTCTTCTTCAACAAGTTAAACATAAACACAGCTATATCGTCGGACAGCACTATGCAGAAGTATTACAACAAGAAGTGCACAGAAGACACTTTTTTTTTCTTCCTATGGCTATCTGTCGTGTTATTCAATTCGTATATCAATTTTGTCATTATGTATTGGAAAATAATTGGCATCACTTACACGTCTATGGAAGATAAATTCATCACGCTGAATGGCAGCTTTATTAACAGCATGTCCAACATCGCCGGGCGGTTGGTATGGGGATCCATATATGACAAGCTACAGCTTCACGTCACTGTAACCTTGCTAGGGGGGTTCATATGCTGTGCGTGTTTCCTCCTGCCAGCCATTTCGCACATATACATTCTGTACGCATTTGCGTGCGCCCTCTTCTACTTCTGCATCGGGGGGAGCTTTGTCACCATCCCTATTATCACCCTTAAGAAGTATGGCGAACTGCACTTCTCCCTGAATATGTCCCTTCTCTACACCACACGCATTGCCAACACGTTTCTGTGCAGCTTAGTCGTCCGTCTCTTTTACAGCATGTTCACCCTGCGATGCCTGAGCTCGGCCTTCGGCCTCATTTCGCTCGTCGCCACGGTTGCGATGTTCTTCCTTACGCAGTCGTAGGGGGGCGCGCCTGACACATTGTGGCGCAGTGTGTGGCGAAGTCTGTCGCAGTCCGGCTCAGCTTGGCGCAGTGTGTCACCGTCTATGCTGCTGTTCATGTCCTGGTGCGTATCCACTTATGCGCGATTGCGCGGGAGAGCCCGTTTACCCACCCCTTGCGTGCTGTATTATTGCTTCCTTTTTTCATGGGATCCTTTTTTCATCGCTTCAATTTTTTCATTCTTCCTTTCTTCATCGCTTCCTCTTTTCATCACTTCCTCTTTTCATGGCTTCCTTTTTTCATTCGTATGGCACCCCTTTTTGACCCTACCATGGTGCAAGTGCCCCTTGGTACAGCTGCAGCGGGGCGGTGCTGCCTATGCCAACCGCTTGGCCCCCACGCGCCCCGTGATGGACCACCTTTTTTCAAACCAAAACCACTGTTGGATTTTTTTAAAACGTTTCTTATGTGTGTGCAGAGGGGCATGCTCACGCGGGCACGCAGTCATGGCCATGCAATGGTAGACATGCAGTCATGGGCATGAAGTCCTGGCTGTGCACTCCTTGCCATGCATCCGTGGAATGTCTTTCCCAAATGAAAGCTCCAACGAAGCTACTTCTCCCAAGTTGTCTTCAAAAGGGTGGCCCGACCATACCTCTCCAGCTCGTTCCTCACAATTTCGTTAATAATCATCCTACGGAGGGGGGGTGAAAAAGTGATGTGGCGGTAAGTGGTCGTCTTGATTAGCATCCTCTTTTGAAGCGGGGGGGAGTGTGCGGTACGTGGCGGCACCAGTGCAGTCACTTAGGACGGTCACTTAGGACAGCCACTTAGGACAGCCACTTAGGCCTGCCACTTAAGCCGGCCAGTTTCGACCGAGGGAGTCTCCCCCCTTTCGGCGAACGCACCGGGAAATCTCTCCGAAGGTAGGCCGCATGAAAGGGTTCTCGTCGATGCAGGAGAGCAGCAGGTTTATCAGGAATTTGTCCTGTCGCAGGTGGGGGTAAAAAGGCCGAAAAAATGAGGAAAGAAGGGAGGAAAAAATGGCAGAAAAAAAGGTCAAAAAAAGAGGGGAAAAAATGACAAAGAGACAGAATGATCCACGCGTGGTCCAAATGAAGAGGACACCCCTTCTGACGATACCCTCCAGACCATTGTAAGCACACCCGAGCAGCTCCTCCTCCCTTACCTGAACCTCAAAATGTTTTAAGTCCACCTTATATCCCCCATGCGAAAAGTAGTGAAAATTTTTGTGCTTTAAAAATTTAGACACAATAACTCCAAAGGCCCAAATGTCAACAGTCCTGTTGTAAGCCACGCTTTTCTGCTCAGGTGCTAAGTGCCCCTTTGTGCCACAACACTGACTCATAAGGTACTCGAAATCTTCGTCGACCTTCCTAGACAGATTGAAATCGGTCAGGAGGATCTTCTTCTCCTGCGTAGGGGCAAGCAGTTATGCGGTATGGTTGTTTATATATGCTCCCCTTTTTTTAAGGAGTCAGTGTGTAAGAGGCCCATTTTGAAAGGCGCTCCAAAGTTGGTAATGGCCACTGGACAGCACGTGCACCAGGGTGAAAAAGCTTCCGGGCAGGACACCCATAACCCGATGGGCAAAAATCAATCTATCCATTATTTGAACAAACAAATCGCTGACGGTGCCCCTCGTACAAGTCAGGTCTCCCACACACAGACACACATAGACACCCTTACCTTTATCAACACGTTGTCCGGCTTCAAGTCCCGATATATGTAAAATTCTTGTCTGGCATTTGGCTTGTGAATGAAGGACATTACGCTGAGGGTGGGGGTCATGCGTGAAAGATGAGCATGCTTGTGAAGTTGACACTACCAGTAGGTATCCCTTTCTGAATGGATAACCACCGAAGGAACCCATTCGTACAACTTCGTAGGAAGTTCTCCTTCACGAAAACAGCCCAGCTGTACATCTGAAGTGTCATTTTTTTGATTTCCCTTTTTTCAGAAGAAGTAAACTTACTTGGCTATCTCCAACAGGGTCAGTCGCACGAAATTCAGATTGTATGCTGCTCCCTTGTCGCAGAAGACCTTTTCTGTTCAGTGAGCAAAATGACGCAGAAGGGGGAGAGTTCCAATTGAGACGCGTCTCCATATGTGCGTAGTCATATATCGGCGTGATAGTCTACTTCACCACGCATGGACCGCTTTCTCACCAGCAGGGAGGAACAATCTTACCCAATGACGTGTCGGCTAGCTGCAGCAGAAAGCAGAGGCACTCCTTCTTCTCCTCCTGGTGCTGCCTGTTCAGCAGTAGTTGGTAGCCTGCAGGGGCGCATGGAAAGGAGAAAAAAAATAAAAATAAAAATGAAAAAAAAAAATAAAATAAAAAACGCAAAATAACGTTTCAACCGTCATTTCCTTAAGCGGACTCGATTGACGTTAATCACAACTGAGAAGACGCCCCCGCCGAGAAAATGTGGCCCACTTTCACAGCGGACCCTCCAGACAGAAAAAACGAAGAAACGAAAAAACGAAACAACTCTAACCTTTGAAGGTGCAGTAAAGCTTCACGACGTTGGTGTGTGCCTTCTCCCGCAGAATCACAGATTCATTCAGGTTGAATTCGCTAAAAGGGGAAAAAAAAGAAAAAAAAAAAGAAAAAAAAAAATAAGAAAAAAAAATGACAAAATAATTCCCTTTTTGCAGTTTCCAAAGCACTGATGCCACAGCGAGCCCTGCTTGCAAAATGGAGGAACCAAATGAGTGTCCTACTTCATGTCCATAATCTTCAGAGCGAAGTGCGTTGTGTCTTTTATGCACGGAAAAAAAAATGAGCTCTGAACTTCTCTATCCTCCTTGAGCGACACGTCCCATACTTCGCCAAATCCACCAACTCCCAACTTCTTCTCAAAGATGAAGTACTCGTCTAGGTTTACAACTTCGTTGTTTCCCTCCCATATTCTGCAGCATTGAGATAGAGAGTGTTTTCTTGCGTGCTTCTGTGCGTTCTTTCGGAACACCGTGTGGCGATACTCTCTCCAAGGGCCAGCACAGGGGCAGAAGGATGGGATGCCCACCCGTGCAACCTTCCCCCATACACTTACACATGAACCGCTGCGAAGACTTACTTCAAAAAAAAACGGTCAATGTATCCAAGAGTCATTTTCACATTATTGGTAAAGTTCGAAACGGTTATCTTCGACTGCGCACTTGAGCTGGTCTTTGTTTTTGTCTTATCCTCCCAGAAGATGGGAATAATGCACTCGGGGATGTTTTGCTCTTCGGTGTGTGAAGTGAGCCGGGGGAAAAAAAAAAAATTAACACATCAGAGGAATGGTGCCGCGCGCGAGGAGGAGATGCACACATTGAGGTAACCACCCTATGCTAATCTCTCTATGATAATCACCCTATACTAGTCACCCTATGCTAGTCACCATATGCAAATCGCCCTAGGCTAATGGCTCTATGCCAATGGCGCTACGAGAACGCATAATGGTGCACTTGTCGCGGCGGAACCTGGAAGGGATGAAACTAAGACGAGGTTGAAATACTTGACCCTGTGGTTCTTCACGTAACGCACAAATCGGCAGGGGATATCCACCGAGTCGCAGAGGAGCTGCAGGAGGTCCGGGAGAAGAGAGTCGCGTTCCATACAGTGGAGGTGTGATATAGATTAGCCGTGTTCACGTCGGATTTTCTGTATCTATGTATGGTTGGTGGTGCTGCTGGCGGTGCTGCTGGCGGTGCTGCTGGCGGTGCTGGGACTCTGGTAGGAAGTGTCGTGGGGGAGAGACCAAACCGAATGGTCACTCTTGTTGACACTATTACGAGGGAACGTGCGGCTTCATCCTCCCCCCTTTTTGTCCTTACACTTGCCAGCCCAACGATTCCTCAAAAAGTGGCTACTCCTCTTTCCTTACCTTAAACAACAAAGACCTGTGCCTATCGGATCCCTTTTTTACACTTCCCAGGAAGACAAAATTAAAATCGTAGTTTTCGTAGTAGTGCGTTTTTATGCTTTCATCACTTTCTTCGCTTTCGTCGCTTCCTTCCCTTTCTTCCCTTTCTGCATCCCAATGTTCTTGGTCACCCCCCCTGTCCGCATCATTCTCCTTGCCCTTGTCTTTTTTTCTTTTTTTTTTTTTCCGATTTTCTGAGGAAAATATTTCAGAGAATGTCCTTTCACGAGTGTCGCAACAATTTGAAATGGCCACTTCGCCGCTCGTCCGTTGGGGAGGTTCCTCCTCGGGAAGTTCTGCTTCCACTTCAGAGCGTTTCCTTTTCACTTGACTTCTATCCCTCTGCCCATCTGCGTTACGTTTATGTGCCTCTTGACTTCCTCGCTGGGGGAGGATCTCCTCCGTCGTAGAGATCACATTTTCAGGGTCGTACTTTATCATCCTCTCCACCAAATTCTCTATCCTCCTAATTTTAACCAAAACGTTTTTAACACTCTTGACTTCCTTCTTGGCGATGTTAACCTTTTCGCTGCGCGGAGGTGTCATCGAGGAGGGTGCGGTGGGGTTTCCCACATAGAGGAAGTGTCAAGTCGACCCACATGCACGTCTGTGCGGGGAGTAGTAGCCCCAACGCGAAGTTGTACACTCCCCCTCCCCTGCCGCTCCTGCTTCTGCTCCCTCTGCTGCAAAAGCGAGCACTGTGCTGAGAAGCCCTACCGAAGTTTGGCGTCACTGAACACGCTTACAATGATGCTGGAGAGGCAGCTGCAAATATGGGTGTCTCCGTTTCTGCACATGTTCCGACCCTTCATGTACCGCCCAACACACTTGGAAATATACTTACACATTGTTTTTTTTTTTAAAAACAAATCACAACTTCCAACATCGTAGATGGATTTTTCTCTAAAGCATGAGTGTAACCCTAGGTGTACATTCGGGACGGGGATCTCTCCCACCAGTTTTTTTTTCCTTTTTTTTTTTTTACATTTGAAATGTAATTCGTGTCCACTGTCTGTAATGACAAAGTTTCGTCTATTCAGTTGGCCACGCACTTGGATGTTCGCTTCTCTATTCACTTGGGTGTCCACTTTCCCTTCGCGGGAAGGATTCTCCGCGTCGGCGGGGGAGTCACTGCTCGGCTGGAGTACCTCCTTCAGAAAGCTGCTCTCTCTCTTCATCCGAACGCCGTGCGTGTAGAAGTAGATTAGCCTGAGGTCCTTCACGTCCACCGCGTCCTTCACAAGGCCTGCAGTGCCAGGGGGGATCGCAAGGATAGACGGAAGCATAAACGGAAGCATAGACGGAAGCATAAAGACAACCACAAACGCAGCATAGACATAAACCTGTATATGTGTGTCTGTAAGTGCGCATATGCATGCGTGCCGCTGATCAGCCCCTGGCGAGCCGCCCCTCCCAGCACCTGACTCGAAGAAAGTCCTCTTGCTATGCATGAGATTATCGTAAAAGTCCAACATGTGTTCCCGGCTGTATTTATAATTTAAGTTCTCTTCGCAGAGTCTGTTTTGGAGAAACTCGATGAGGTGCAGGACCACCTGGTTGTTCTTCACTTTTTTTTTCTTTTTCAGTTTCGCAATAAAGCTCAACACTAGGAAGTTTACTTCGTCAAGGTTCTCTATTAAGTATTTGAGCCCAATGAGAATGTCCCCTACGTCTCCACTGAGATAAAGCAGGGCCTCCAATGGAGAAAAGTGTTGGGACGGAAATGAGCCCTCTCTTCACGTCGTTCGCAGTTACGCAAGTTGCATGCGTCTGGTCACGCAGGAAGACGGAACAACCACCATCATGATTATCAGCGAAACAGAAGGAACGGAATGAAACGGAACAACTTCTCCCCCTTTCGACGTGCCTATTTAGGTGGTACCATTGAAATTTGGTTATAACACGAGGCATACGGGGGGAAGTACAAATGGAAGGCATTCATGGAGAGTCGCTTTATAAACTCCTCCGTCGGGGATTCAATTTTCCTCTTTAATGTCAGATCGTCCGAGACGAACACACACGCGCTCTTAACTATTTCTTCCCCTCTCTTTAGATTCTACATTCGGACAAACAAGAAAAAGAGAAGAAAAAGAAGAAAAAAAGAAAGGAACAGAAAAGAAAAGAAGCGGCGGGTTAGATCATCCATCCCGTTACTGCATTGCGTTACACTGCGATCAGTTTTACGTGGCGTAACTTAGCTCATCTAAATATAACTTAATTTTGGCCAAATTTTATTTCTTTCGTTTCGGTGCAGCTTTCCCTTTTGGCCTGCACCTATTCGAGTGTAACTCCTCCAGATGCCTATGCTGCCTGCAAATGATTTATTACTATTTCTGGGTTTGACTTCAGCTTCCGCAGCGTGTCAATGTGGGTCCTGTGTACGTTTTCCGCGTCTGCATGTTGGTCGCTCCGCGGAGGTACACCTTTATCGCTCAGCCCATCTGCATGTTGGTCGTTCTGCAGGGGTACACCTTTATCCCTCATCCCCTCTGCACACTTTTCACTTCCCCTGTTGGCACCGCCTAACTGGGCTTCCTCCCTTTGTGCTTCTTCCCTGCTGATGCACTCCCCGTGCTCGCTGCGCGTTCCACTGGTCAGGTCGTTCTTATCTCCAACAATGGGGGTCGTAATAATGTTGCTCTTCGTACTGCCAGTGGCGCCGCCGTTGAGGGCTCCCCAAACAGCGCTGTCTTTACGCGTGCTCGAGCAGTCCTTCATTTGGTAAAGAGCCCAGCCAACCCGGTTCTCGCGGCTTAATGGTTATGTCCCCTATTGATGTTCTATCACTAGTACTATCGTCACTGCCGTTGTGTTACCGATTCGATGTACGTTTCTTTTCTGTCTACTCCCGTGTTACTACACCCTGGGGGGGGGAGGGGGACGAACAGCTCTTTTGCATATTCGCGCAACGTGTCCGTAATTAAAAGGAGACGTTTTTTTCCTTCACCTAACTTATGCAGCTGGAGAGAAACGCTCACAAAAAAAGGCACCTCCCCCTGCAGCATCTTTTGGGCTGCTCCCTCACGTTTTCGTGGACATAATTTGGTTTTCGAAAAAGAGTTTATCTTAAATTAAAAATGGGGAAAGGCAAAAATGGGAGATGGAAAAATGGCGTCGCGAGATGGCAGAGGGACGAAGGGAAAATCCGCCTACTTTTATCTACCTTATTGCCCTTTTTTTTTTCCGAAGGGTAACAATAAACGTGTGCAAAGGGCATTCGGCGTCTATGTCGCCTCGCCACGGGAAATTCTCCGTCTCTATGGCTTTGTCGATGCCGTTTCGAAAAGGAGTATGCCCGTTTTCATTTTTCACTTTTTATTTTTCATTTCTTTATCTACTACTCAGCATTCTCCATTTTTTATTTCCCACCATGAGCGATGAGGAATCGTTGGGATGCACTTATCGAGCGAGTGACGGCCACTCCAACGAAATCATTCCACCTCGTTTGTTTTCGCATGGGGCCAAACATAAGAACACGCACTTCGGAATGGAGCATCCACATACAGATTTTTTGCCAAGGTACGACAAACGTTTTTCTTAATTATAGATGCGTAGGGAATCAAAGAGGGGGCTGCGTTTCCTGGGGATATTTCACCTACCCGGGGGTTATTATTATTTATAAGCGGCCAATTAAAAAAAAGAAAAAAAAAAACCCACAAGGCGGCACGAAAATAAGCGAAAAAAATTGTGAAAGGGGTAAAAAAAAAAAACATTATGCACATGAACTACACTTCTACATGTATGTATAACCTCACGGAGGTACATAAACAAAGGCTCAAATTGTGTAACAGTTAAGCATGCCTGTGAACATGAGTACGGTTATAAGGATGCCCCCCCCCCACAGACACACACCCATACAAACGTAGGTGTTTACAAAAACCTTAAACGGTTCACCACCAGTGAAGGGGGAAAAATTCCTGGCTGTCACTTAAAAAATTAAAAACATTTCCGTATGGAGAAAAAAAAAAACACACGCACACACGCTTTATATCTGCAGGGTTTAGGGGGAAGGGGAACAAACAACACGAGGGTTAGCGGCTGCATGGAGGTTGCTCTTACCCCTTTACGTAAGACTTCAAAATGATAACATTCTGTGGGTGTTTGTTTTGTTCTTCATTTGAGGCAAAGTCTGGTCAAATACAAAAAACGCCAAGCGCAAGGAACGCCCTGTAATCGAAGGGCCTACATTCCTTCTGGTCATACCTTCCCTATATAACGGACTTCGTCTGGGGTTACCTTCACGTACATTTTGCTTTCTTCTGGTCTCCATCCTACTTTGGAACGCCCGCGTTGAGAAAATTAGAACAGGAAAATCACCATTTTAAGGGAAAGATACTGTGTTCCATTGTTAGGCGGCCATTTTGCGGTGCTCACTATTTACTAGCCATTTTGTAATATTTTTTTTTTTCTTTCCTTCCCTGATCAGGTGAAATTGAAGAAAAAAAAAAGAAAAGAAAAAGCTGTGCCACGTGTGCGAGTGGGTGATCAGTTAATCCGCTTTCGTCACTTGCCCCATTTCTTCTTCCTTCTGCCTCCTTAGCCCTTCTCCGTAGCTGTGTCATTGGTCCATTTACGACACACTCGATCAATCTACCTCGAAATAAAAGTCTGGTTTTCTCTTTTTATCATCGGGGACGTTATTTTTGTTGAGCACAAATATCAAGACAATACCTATTATCGGTGAGGTGGCAATACACAATTTTAATATGGTGAAGAGGATTGAGAAAATCGTGCCTATCATTTTACAAACGAAAGTTAGCTTATATAGGGATGGGGTGAAGTAGCCAAGGGCTGTAAAGTAAAAGGAGAAAAAATATTCAGACGCATATGTGCTATGTAAGACGTTAGGAAAAAGGGACCTTTACAATGTCCTATTTGAGAAGAATGTGCTCGAGAGGGGGTGAAGAAAAACAGCACCACGGAAGATACGCACACAAAGGGGTGTATACGCGCCGCGACAAGTTGGTGTAGATGGGCGCATATATACTCACGTATGTACTACACCGAGGTAGGGCGTCCGCTTGTCCACTAACCGAAAAAACAAAGCAAATTTTGTTCTAGCAAACGCAAGCAAAGCCGACTTCTCCTTTTCACGCGCTGAATTATGCGACTACGCGATTGTTTTTAAACTTTCGTTTTTTAAAAACTATTCTGCGTTCCCTTACAATGCGATTTTTTATTCTTTACATATCAAAACGGTGAAAAATGGAAAATGAGTGTTTTTCTAATGCTAACGTGCGATGGGGAAAAAAAAATTGCTTAAATGGTAAAGAGGGTTGCGCAAGTGGGAACAGGAAGAAGTTACATATTGTATACAAGCATGATGTATATATATATATTTGCACATGTTTGTACATTTTGCGCGAGCAGCCCCGTGTTGAATATACTAACGCAAATTGCCAAGTGGCAAAAAAAAAAAAAAAAAAGGCTTTCAAATCGTCAACAAACCAAGGCGCCCTTGCAACTACACGCAAAAAGTTATAATTTAAGCTGAAAAACGAGGAGGAAAAGAAAAAATCGGCGCATTCATTTTGTACGCTATATAAGTAGGCATGTTTCATTCCTGTACAAAAGTTTAATGTTTCTCTTTTTCTCTTTCTTTGATCGGGAGGGCACTTAAATGTGCACATTGTGTACGACGCCACATCCGTGTGCTTGTAGCTTCCAATAAGAAAAATAAGCTTTGAAGATGCGAACGCCGCGCAGCACCAGGATTGTGGCTACCACGTTCAGGTACTCGCCCCTCCCCAATATAACAATGACCAAAGGAAAGATGAGAAAACCAATTCGAGATTTCACTTTCTCCTGATTCATTCCACTTCCCCCTTTGCAATTAGCAAATAATGCGCTTCTTCTCTTTGGAAGGAAATGCCCAAAAGATACCTCCATTTCATTATATTATCACCCTTTTTTAACGCAACATCAACAGGGCAAATAAGAAAAAAAAAAAAAAAACAGTGCTTACCGTTGGGGGGGCAAAAATGGGAAGCTCCTCATCGCTCCATTACGATTGAAACTTTTGGTTGAACATTGACGTGAATATCTGCCCGTGCAATGATCAGCAAATTTACACATTGCATCGTGCAAACGTGAGGAGAGAAGAGGGCAATCTTAATTCTTCCTCTTTGAAGTGACGAAAATTTGCAAATCGTTGAGGAGATAAGCCAGTACCCATGGTGGACAAACGCGCTATTGCCACTTTGCACGATGATTTTATCTGGGAGGTGTTATCATGCCCACTGTTTGTGTGTGTGGGAGGGGGTTACCAATTCAAAGCGAAATAGAAACCGTCAAATGGCGCGAAGGCACGAAAAAGTACGGGCCACAGACACGATAATGCAGCCGGAAGTATCCACGCACATAGCTTGGGCGAAGAAGTTTAGGTATGGCCTAGACAATCCTTACGCCACCGCCTCGCTCTACCCCCCAGCGCAACACTGCATTGAGAATCCCCTCCCGGCACATTCCCTTTCGAATGAGAAGTTCCCAATTTTGGTAACTCCTTCGAAACAGGGTACTTCCCTCTTTTAAAAAAAAAATCCCTGACACATCCCCCCCCAAAGCGGCGCTGAATCAATCTGTTAAATTTGAAGAAAAAAAAAATGCTACGTAAATATTCTCTTTCATGAGCCTGACAAAAGGGTGAAATCATTCCCCACGAAGCGTTTAACCTTTTGCCGCTTTTTTTTCCTTCGCACCAGTATACGCGAGTTGGAGGTAATATTTCCAAGGCTTCTTTCTGCATCGGCGAAGAAGAATAAAATAAATTGCCACATCGATCCTGTCCTATTGAATGCAACGATCCGCTTACCACGCAGAACAAAGCTTTACTGTGTGTGAACGTAGAGGCATGGCAAAATGCACCCGACGCGACACTTCCGCCATTGTTCAATGCTAACAATGTTTCCTTGGCAGGCGGCATTAGCTGCGCCCCCTTCAGCAGTTTACCCCCCTCGTTTTCTATATCCCCCTCGCGCAGTTGTCTTTGCGCTTTTTTAATATTCCACAAAGGGTTGGTAAAAAGATCGGTTTAGATTTGCCAGATTCTTGGGATAACGGGGGGAAGGAAAAAAAATAAAAAAAGGAAAGCTGACCAAGCGAAGGACTGCCGAAATGGGTAATTAATTTCCTTTTTTGTTAATCCTCCCCTACGGTGCTATTAAACAATGATATGTATACTTTGCACCTAGAGATGTGTCCCGCTTCGCAGCTTTGCAAATATGTCCGTTTTTTTTTTTTTTTTTACCTGCATTTTCTACATTTCACAAATCGCCCATTTGCCTCCAATTCGTGGGGGTCACTTACTTGCGCGTTCGCGGTACGGGAAAACGGGAAAAAATGGCTCGTAAGAAGCAATATATTATGCGCAAGGTCATTCCTTCTCCTTTCACGTATGCATGCATCCATGGAGCGAGAGGCGCGTGTTTTGGTAAAATTGGAGAGGGGACCCAGGGCGCCCTCAAAAAAAAAATACATATATGTATATATACATTACTTATTTATATAAGGCGCGGCGCCCCTGCACGCGAACTCTACCGTGCCGCTAAAAGGCAGCGCTACCTGAAGACCAGCAGGGCGTATATAGTATAAATGCGGGCGGGTACGATGCGCTAGACTAGTCGCGCCTCTGCATGTAAGGGAATTATACATGTACCATTTGTTATGCATGTAGGTATACAGCCCAGCGCCTTTCTACCCTAGGGCTTAACTTAACCGTGAGAAGGAAAAAAAGTAGGTACAAAAAAATAGGAAAACAAAAAGGAAAAAACGGTTCATTTTCCTTCTCGCTTGACACTGATAAGTGCGCAGCGAGGACGGCCCAAGGAACTAAAAAATATGTCTTACCTCGTTGGCAAGAAATAAGAATGGCTCATGTATAAATGAAAGCGATAAAAATATCATATGCATACAAAATTAAAATAAATATGCATTTCTTTGTTCATAAATATGCATGTACAACTTTGTAAATTGGGAACAAACAAGCTCATTAAATAAATAATGCTGGTGAATGCTTCCCTGGCGTGCTCTACCCATTCGCCTTTCACTCCCCTGCCACTCCCCATTGGCGCCTTTGACAAACTCAAGGAAAAGTGGATACTTGGGATAGAGGGAGGGAAGGGGCCTTTTTTTGTCCATGAGCTGACTTTAAGCAAACGACGCGCGGGTGCTCAATGAGCAGCATAACACGGAACAGCTTCGCAGTGCATCGAACGAATAATACACATACGTAGTACTACATATCATAGTATATACATAGTAATACGTAATACCATATCCAAGCGAGTATATTTTATACCTACTGTTTTTACTATATGCACGCTTGCAAAGCCCCTTCTCCCTTCAGGGGTGCTGTATGCTATGTACGTAAATGATATATCATAGATAGTATATAAATATATGCTCGCCTCCCTTTGCATGCATACAGAGTTGGCCAAGAAAAGGTTTTTATGCACGTGGGGTTTTTTACAATAATATATTATATCTTTCCGCTCGTCCGTCGTTTTATCTCTTATTTTTTTGGTTGATTTTACCCCACCTGGCCCTCATCTTGCATTTTTTTTTTTTTCCTCTACTATAAGTAGTTATACATATATTATATTGTAAATAGAAATCTCCTCCCCCTTTTTGCTCTTCATGCATGAAAAAATGAACCGCTCTTTTTTTTTTGTTTGCGTTTTTGCGCATTTATTTACTTCTTCTTCCTTTTTTACGCGCTTGTATCCTTTTTAGTTTGCATTGTTCGCATTTTTCCATATATTCATTTTGCCTTTATATTTTTTATGCATTTTTTGTATGCATTTTTCATATATTTTTTGTATGTATTTTTATGTATATTTTTATATACATTTTTATGTACATTTTTATATATTTTTTGTATGTATTTTTAATATACATTTCTATGTACATTTTTATATATATACATTCTTATGTATATTTTTATTTTTACATGGCATGTTGATACGGTTGGTTTCCCGGTTTTACGTGCGCTACATCCCGCACGCACGCACGTTTGCCGTTTTGCGTCCCCTAAGCATACGCCGATAAACTCGCGCTTGCCTGACGAGTGAGGCGAACCCCGGGGGAAGGAAGGAAAATTCCCCCGGTAGTGGCACCACGTGCAAAGGGAGCAATATTCCCCCATCCATATACATACGTACATATTTTTATGCATATATATACATTACGCACGTATATATTTACTTACGTATAGGTGTGCCCCTCCACTTGGCGCGTAGCCCTCATGCGTTTCTCACGCGTAGGTATGCGGGGCGCACGCACGTACATACGTGGATAGGTTAGCATACGTTCCCATACCTTAGCATACCTTCGCTTACGCTCGCATACGTCTTCTTACCTTCTAGTACTTCCAACACATTGTTTTCCCAAAGGTCCCTCCTCCCCTTTGGCCGGGCCATGAGAACGCAACGAGCTCACCGCGCTCATTTATGTACATACATACGTTCTCGCATATGTGCGAGCTGTGCGTTTTTTTTAAATTAGGCATCCGTTAGCTGGATAAAAGCTGACCATCCAGTTTGCACGCTTTGCCTTTTTTTTCTTTTTGCTCCAAACGGACGGACGCACGAACACACGAACAGACTTACATGTTAACGCTACTCAATTGCTGCCTTTTTTTTTTTTTTTCTTCTTTCCATTATGCGAACAGCACTTTGACCAAGGCGCTGATTCGCTATGCATGATTGCCCATGTGCACGTGTATACGCGTACGCGGCTACATGCGAGAGGGCTGCACTCCGTTTAACGCCTTGACGTTGTCTGACGCCCTTTGGGGGGGTGGAGAACAAACGAATCAATTCTATGGGGTGAAGGAATTATCGCTAGTGCTGCTTCGTTTTTTTCCCTCCACTCCCCTGCAGGTTGGCCAAACATGCAATTCCCGTATCTGCGCGATTGCGTAATTTTCCCACGTAGCACATCTATGCAAGCGCTTCTGCCAAACGACACCTCAGGACTGCGGCCATTTTTTTTTTTTTTTTTTTTGTGGCATACACGTGAAGGGTGCGGAGCCGGCATCTGTAGATGTAAGTATACCAATCGAGCTTTGTGTTTGAAGAAGCACCCCCGAAGTTGTAGCAACCCCACAAAGTGTGCCCATTTATGCCCATTTTAGTTGACTTTCCCTACACCTCTTATTCGTTTCCTCTTGCACACTGCTTTCTGTTTGGTATTGCTTCGGTCTCCCTTCCCTTGAGAAGCAGAAGCCACCCATCACAGACCAAGGCGCACCAAAGAATAATGCACGGATTTGAGAAAACGAATGTGTTCTAGAGAAACTCAAGTAGGCAACACACTATGACAGCGAATTGACCTGCCCTAATGATAAAATTTATTTGAATCGTTAGCAGACGTTTCAGCATAATTCCGCCAATAGAAAGAGAAGCAGACGGTGATTTATACATTTGTGCCCCTTGTGATAGAAGCAAAAAATGATTTTCGGAAAATGAACAAAGCCTCGACAGCTACGTATTTAGAAGATTGCCTTTTGCTGGGGGTACAACGGGAGAACCTCCAAAAAGTGCACGCGGAGCTGGCGGAAGAGGAGCTAAAAGAAAGACTGGAGCAGGAGCAGCAGGAAGAGGAGGAAGAAGAAGAGAACGAAGAGATCGAAGAAGGTAAAGAAGACGAAGAAGGCCAAGAAGGCGAAGAAAGGGGGGAACCACTCAACATTGCGCACTCCAGCAGCGCTAACACCCACTGCGACCGTAGAGACGATCTCATTGGAGGAAATCCTCCGATGCATGGGGACAGCGGCAACAAATATATGCTAAACTATTTGAATGCGTACATAAGTAAAAATATAAGGAACAATAAAACAACAGAAAATATTAACCAGTCCAATTTCTTGACCAACCAAAGTGAAGACAACATGAGAAGTGGAAGCCCCACCAACATCACTCTTATTGATAGTAACAAACAATGCATGAGAAATTTTTTTAAAGACAGAGATAGGCCTAGCCCTTTACGTGATGCGCAGATGGCAGCTAACCTTCGCTACATGCTGATCCCAAATGGGAATGAACAGAAAGAAAACGCCAACTGGAAAGAACCCAATCAAAACGTTAACCGCAATGAACGCATAAGTAATTTTATACACATGGAACTACAAAACGGCTCCGTGGACAGTAGAGTGTATGTAACCAACAGAAGTAGCCTGATGAACGAATCGAATTGTTCCGATCAACAAATGAAGAATCCACACGATTGGGAGACACCTGGAGCCGTGCTGGAGGAGGACGTGGGGAACATCTTTGTCAATAAATTTCCCCCAGGTGTGGCGGGAATCGCCGCCGGCGGCTTGAAGCACCCGAGTAGCATGCGCAACGTCCATAACGAGTTGGTCGATGTGGGGATGTTTCGAAGTGATACGGGCTTCGAGGGGAGAGCGACCCGGCCGCATTTCAGTAGGGATTGTGCCACTCCAGATCGTGTGACTGCTTATCATGGCAGTGCTTATCATCTGAATGACCCCCGTCTGGACACCCCCCATCCCAGTGCCGAGACGACGAATCAGAACGGCCCCACGAACGAACCCAATCCAAACAACGCCAGAGAGTGCGAAAATCATAAGCTATCCCCGAGTGGAAGTGAAAATGTCTCCCCCAGTAAGAGGCCGAGCGAGTGCGATAAGCCGCAGGGAATGTTCCTCAACAGCGTTGGAGAGGAGAGAAGCGTCAAATGGGTAGACCCGCCAACTATGAAGGAGGAAGACCCTGTTATACTAACCGCCAGTGAAGAAGTGAACGGTGCAAAAAAGGATGGGAAGGCAGGTGAACCACTACCCACAGTAATAACTGATTCAAATCAGTGGATGACAGGACAAGAGAAGGATAACTATCGGAGCTTTCTCCATGTAATTAATAAACGAATGGAAATATTTTCCAAAGATAGAAATGTCATTTCTGTGGAGAATATGTACAAGCCGGACGTCCAATCTGTGAATGCCTCACTCAGCCATAACAACCCCATGTATGTGAGCAACACTGATAAGGGACCCACTTTGGGAGGCTCGCCACTCAATTCAGGGGGAAGGAAGGAGGAAGGCCCTATTGATAACGCGGGCGCATTCAATGCTAATGTAAATTGTCATGGAGGCTTCGTACCTAACGAGCCAAACGAAAGTTATCAAAAAATCAAGTTCAAAAAAGTGCAACAGGAACAAGGACAACCTATCCTACAGCAATGTTATGAGGAAGATACAACTCTCGGTGATACTCAGGGGTTCTATTCCCTCCAGGGTTCCTTTGCAGAGGGAGGAGCGCATCCGAGTGGACTGTTGGATAGCCACGGGAGGGACATCTCCGCGGATGCAGATGCGGATGAAGATGCAAACGCAATGAGGGACCTAGAAATGCTGGGAGGCCAGGGAAGCAGCACATCGGATAACTTCCCCTGCAGTCGCGACCCGGGCAACAATTTAAACACTTACTTCGATGACAACCCGGGAAACAATTTAAGTAATTACTTCGATGACGACCCCCCCGAGGTGGTTAAATTAAACGGCGTCAATTTTTCCAGCCACGTGGATAGGCTAAGTGAGGAGTTAAACTTTATTGAGGAGGGGCTAGTGGGCCACAAGAAGGAAGGAGGCCCGACTAGTTTCCATTTTTTTCAGAAGGGGAAGAAAATAGGAACGCCCCACAGTGGCGATTATGGTGACCATGGGGGGTTTGGAGCAAATCACGCACTTGGCGACCACGCTGACATGACCGAATCGCAGTGTCCAAATTACGCATTCGAAAAGGGAATCGGAGCTGTCACAAGCACAGGGGATGAAGAGGATAGCGGCACCAACCGAAACAGCGCAGGTGGAAACGAGAACTGCTCCAGCAGTAGGAGAAGTAGCCACGAACACAGTTATAATAAGAACGACCCGTTTAATGTGGATTCCTTTGCAAGGGACCCATTCCTTGTGGATCCCTTTCGCAACGACCCCTTTGCCGGTGATCCTTTTTTTGATGAGCCGTGTGGGAAGGACGGGTTGTGTCTCAACCAGATAGGCACGTACAGTGAGCGCAACGGGTATTATGCCAACGTGCGCCACAACGACGAAAAGGACGATAACGACGACAATGGCAATGGGGTTGCCACTCCAATTGCCAATCTTAACAAGAACGCGACGTTGAATGACGATTATGTATTTCCATCGAATGGAAAGAACCCCCATGACCTAGAAGATGGAGTTGGCCGACAAAGCAGCCTGGCTCACTTTGACAACGGAGGCTACCTCTTCGCAGGCAAAAGCGGCAGCAATAATAATTGCGCTTCAGTAAAGGAGGCCTATAAGGGTGGAAACACATTTCCCAGCTCGGCCAGTGGTCCCAACCATGACGATTTCATTTCCGAGCACTTCACTAATGACCATGTCGAAACGGCCAACGCGAGTGAAAACACATTTCAACTGCATCAGGAAACGCACAGCAGTGACGGGGATGGGAACCGAGGCAAAGGCAGCATCGGGAGCAGCAATGGTGGAAGAAGCCACGATGGCAGAAGCCACGATAGCAGTACAACCGGTGGGGAGGGCAACACAAGATTGTTCAGTGACACCCACCCTGGGAGGGAATCAAATTTTACTCAAAAGAAGAATCCAAATGACGATTATCCAAATGAGGAGGACTTACTCCGCACTGCAGCAACAAGGGAAAGTAGCCACTTCAGTTTTAACAGTTGTGTTATCCATGTGAAGGGAGATAATACCCCTCGAAATGAGTCTCACCCGGAGGAGAATCGCTTCCTCAATGAAGATCAGGGGGCCGCACCCTACCTGCAGGATGAATTTCCACGCGCAAGGCAGGACATTGAAAGGGCCATTGCCACCATAGATGGTGGGACCCATATGGCTGGCAGTGACGGATCTATCGAGGGCACTTCGGCAGGGGGTGAAACGGAGGGAAAAAACCAACACACTGAAGTGCCTTCCCCGGTTCAAAAGAAGAAGGTCTGCCCAAACCACGTTAAAGAAGAAGCAAGGAACAACGAGCAGCATCCCATTGGGATGAACTCATTTGACGACAGAACCTTTGGCAGCAATTCAAAACGCGTCCAAAAACATAACCAGGTAGAAGTGAACCTAACCGACGTAGAAGTGAAGCTAATCGACGCAGCAGTGAACCTAACCCACGAAGAAGGGTACCCCCTCGTGGATCGTAATCTTCCAAGAAACGGAGTCACCATAAGTACAAATACTATTGTCACCCATGGAAGCACCATGGTCGCCAATGAAGAATGGATGCACATGAATGGGGAATACAATCAGGTGGATCACCTTAACGTGACTAAAGGAAAGAGGATAGCCACCCCCCTGGACGCCAACAGTAGTAGCAGCGCAAGGGATGCCCATAACACTTTGGCAGGCAGTGGCACTGTTGTCGGGAATGCGAACAGCTTAAATCATGTAAATGCGAAGAAAGGGAATTACGGCCCTGCCAGTCATTTGAAGGATTATTGTGGCTTGGGCGACGCACCGACTTCTGCTCATCATGACATCTTGGAGGGGCTCCAAAGTAACACTGGGGTGCAGCACCCCTTCCACGTGAGGAAGGACGACGTCATGCGAGATAGGAGCAGTCAGGAGGAAACCTTCGGACGACCCTACGACTGGAACAATGAACGAAGTACCAGTTATGCCCCCGCCTCATTCCGCAGAAACGCTAGTGAAACGAAAAGCTTATTAACAAAATTTTTTGACGCTGTCGAATCGGGTTCTTTGAACCAGAGCAGAAGGGGAGGCATAGCAGGAGCATTCGCCACCAGCGGAAATGAACACAACGAATACAATGTTGGTAACCTTCATTCTTCACGCAACGGGTATCAGAAGCAGAGTGAAGTGAAGAACGATAAGGAGAACATGTTCCCCCAGACGACGGATCGTCCCAGCCATAGTGGCAACCATCCCAGCCATGGTGGAAACACTTCACACCACGTAAAGAATGGAAATACGAATGATCCGTTTAGCAATGGGAGTAACTTGGGCGGGGTGAAGAGTCTGGGGACGATGGAGATCCTGAGTCAGGGCATCCCAAATGGCGGCACCCCAAATCGCGGCATCTCCAGTGCGTGCAGCGGAGGCCCCCACGGCTTCACACACTTCATGAATAAAAATGGCGACGTCGATGCGCACCAGAAAGTGGCGACTCCGATGGCAGGCCCTACCTTGAAGAATGTAAACAAGGTGGAGAATCATCTACCCCACAAGAATGTCCCTGTCATGCAAAGCAGCAGAAATAGTAACCTCGTACATTCCATTGTCTATAATCCGAGCAAGCTCCTTATTAATAAGCACATCCACGCCAGTAAGTGTATGAACGGCAAGGTGAAAATGATGAATAGCGGTACTGGCGCCCCACATAGCAGCAACAATGGCATGGGGAATCTTTGGGGAGATAATCGATCTGGTGGTAGTCCTCGAAATGTGGGCAGCCCAAACTTAACGCAAGTCGACAGCGAAAACAGAAAACACCTGACCATTCTAGGCAACAACAGTGGTCGTGGTGGTATACCTATGCCACACAGAAAGGGGAATAATAATCCTCCTACGGATGGTAAAGTGAAAGGGAAAATGGTCGTCGCAGCATTGATGGGCAGTCGTGAGAAGACAAACTTGACGTGCAGCCCAATTGAGGAATCTAGTAATAGTAACCTCCTTATGGGTGCCCACGGAGGGATGACACACACAACGATTAGTGGGGCCACCAACTGTACCAGCACATCACCAAGTGAACACAACTCGAGTGTCCCATTCAATCGAGTAGCAGGAGGAGCAGCGGGAGGATTAGTCGGAGCAGACGGAGCAATCCGGGCAGTATCCACCGCCGGAGGAGCCCCCTTTTACATCGCGGAAAGTAAAAACCTCCCTGGGGGTAAATCCCCAAACGGAGGCAACCACGATAAATTGGAGAGGAAAAATTCGTTCAGCAGCAACGGAGACACCAGTAGCAGCTTAAGAGGGAGAACTGCCTTCCACGATGATGGCAGCATCGGTAGCAGTACGATGGTAGAATCGAGGCAACTCAACCAACCGTTTAGCGAGAAAGAAGAGCGTGCAAATGGGATCACCGGGTTTGTAGTCCCTGGAACGACGACTTATCAAGGCGGTAGCAATGGTCGTGCCTCCCTCTCGTCGGCACCGTCTGGTGGAGGGGTCGTATACTCCCCGTCTATCAATGGGGGAGCAGTGACCTCCTCGCAAATGATGTCCAGCCATAAAATGAGTAGCTTCGTAATCAATGACAATCTGAGTAACATTCTGTTGAGCCAAAAATTTAACACCTTTTTTAATAACGCCCTAGCGAACATACAAGGAGGGGGGAGCACAACTACTCCGTATGGAAGCGTCGGCGGAGGTGTTCCCAACGTTAGTAGCTCCAATGCCCAGGGTATTATCATCCCTCCGAAGAAGAACGAACTTAGGTACAACAGCATAAAGAGCAACCCGGGGGAAGGAAAAAGAAACAACATGTGCGAAACGGTTAGTACATACTGTAAGGAAAATTCAAACGATGCGTCCAAAATAGGGGAAAGCTTCCTCTTTCAGGGAGGCGGCTCCCCGGGCCAAGTACCCAGCGAAGATGTGAAGGATCAGACGTCACGTCACTTGGCGCACCCCAAAATGACAGACCAGAACAGTAACAAGCCTGCCATTTATCTTGGAAGCCATAAAATGAGGAAGGATGTAAAGACAACTAAAATGATGGAGTCGTATGTTAACCACTCATTTGTGAGTGGAAAAAATGGAAAAGTGAGTAGCGGCAGGTTTAATGACTACTCGAAGAATATTGTGAAGGGGCATTTTCAAGGGGACACCAGTTACAGCTACAGTGAGCAGAACGCAGGGGGACCATCTGGTGAGAGGAAGCCCGGCATTTCGCACTATATAAAAGGTAGCGCCAATAGCAGATGCCTGAATGAGGGAGTTAGCGGAGTTAGCAGTGGTAGCGTTCGTGTTAGCGACGTCTTGAGCGGAGACCCCAAGCAGGATTGCAACAATGTAGACGATTTTCCGACGGAGAATTTTTCCCCCAGCGGAGGCAAACGAGTGGGTAATCAAAATGGGCCACCCACCCCCCAGTCTCGAAAAGGTTTTGTGCGCAACAGGAATGTCTATGTGAAGGCTAGCAATGGCGAAGTATGCGCAACCACTGGGACGAGGGACTATAACGGTCCTCTGCAAAGCGGGTTCGACAACAGAGGAGATGCTGTGACGGCCGTGGCTACCGTGGCGGCTTCCTCCATGGACGAGGCTCGACTTTTCCGGAACCACTCGATGAATCACAGCAGAGGGAGCGGCGAACAGAGAATCCAGGATCACCAGGTGGGTCACTACGGGCACAGGGCCGAACTTGCTGCGGTAACGCTAGACCCCGAAAGAGGGTGCAAAGAAGAAGATAATAACAATACTAGTAAGACCCAAGAAAGTAGGTACGCCATGCAGGCCGAGGTGCTAACGAAGCGGAAGGGTAGCTTGGGTCAAGAGAACACGGTTAGCAGCAGCACCAACAGTGGTAGCAGTAACAACGGCAGTAGCAACTATAGCGGCGGGGGAGCCACCTACGCTGCTGGCGGCAATTACGCTGCTGGGAGCAACTACACACTTGGCGGCAATCATTCCGTTGGCGGCAACAAGGCGGGCCCCCAGGGCTCTTACCCCCATGTCAGCCCGAACAATGCAGATATTAACAACATCATAATGGCTATGATACAGAATCCAATGAATTGTAGCGGTGTCCTAGCGAGCCACGTTAGGAAAGGAGTATCTGTCGGCGGGGCAGGAAACCCCATCGGATCAGCCTCAGGCCACATGGCGCAGAGTCCAAGGAGCATCAACAACGATAACAGTGTTCCAAACGATTTGTTACTGAAGGGAAAAAATATCGAGGAGCTGATATGCAGCAAGGGCTACGTTCCGAGTAGGTACCCGCACCATCCGTATAATAATGTGAGTACGAAAATGGCTAGCCCGCTTCAGGGTCCGCCAAATCCCCAGCACCATGGAGTGCATAGCGGAATGCAGAGCGGCCTGTATGGCAGTGTGTCTAACGTGTCGCTTAACATCCCCCCCTCCGCGGGCAGCCCCGCCAAACATAACGAAGATTTAAGAATGGGTGCAGAAAAAAGTACTCTAAAGATGGTAGCCAACAACATGAGCATGAGGAACGCAATGAATCGAGACAGCCCAATGAATCGAGACAGCCCAATGAATCGAGACAATCCAATGAGTCGAGACAGCCCGATGAATCGAGACAATCCAATGAGTCGAGATATTGCTACCTACAACTCGGTGGGAGGCGTTTGTTTCAACAGGAACGGTAGTGTGGTCCCCCCGACCAGCGGAGCGAGTGTCAACAGTGGAGGACTTGGAGCAGGAAGCGCCATCAATAACATGCCGGGTAGAAGTGTAGAATCATTTAATTACGTGATGAGCAGCGAGCAGCCGGGAAATCCGATGCAACAACATGCACTAGAGAAGAACACAAAGAACAGGTGCATACTGAATAATAACTTCAAAATGGATGCTAGTAAAAACTGCGCAAAGATTAGGAGTGCGCATCCTCAGAATGGTTATGCGAACGTCGTGATGCAGCCCAACGGGGACGTGCGAAAGGGGGTTCCACCTCCCCTGGCGGCGGCGCTAGGGGTGAGTCCTCAAGCAGCCTTGGCACCACGAGCTGTAGGAGGGGCAGGAGTGACAGGAGTGGCACCCGGGGCAGGAGGGGCAATCATTTTGCAGAACCAGAACGGAGGCCTCAGTGAATACGCACAGCATTACTACGAGCAGCAGCTGCAGCCCATACAGGGGCACCACCCAGGCGAAGCCGAGCGCGGGGAGCACGCCATGTACCTCTCGAACACTAGCGACCTGGCAATCAAAAAGAAGGAATACGAGAACGTGTTCAGGCTATCGAAAAATCAGCTTCTAAATCTAGAGAGTGAAATAAAATATCTAAAGTCACAAGCGTCGTACAATATAAAGCCGAAGGATCTATACTTTGAGACGTACGAGGAGACGGATGTTTTTACGTACGACGATGCTGGTATCACGAATGGAGATTACTATTATTACCAGCATCAACATCAGCAGCATCAAGGGGGAGTCACTTGTGTTGATGGGGGTGGCCTACCCATGGGAGGTGTTAATCAGATGAGCGGCATGGTAAGCCCAGTTGGGAACTCCGCGGGGAATCTGTGCCGTGTGAATGGCAGCGCCAGAGGGGGAGCGGGAATAGCGGCAGGAGGAGCGATAGGAGCGGTAGGAGCAGATGCATCTGCGCTGATGGATCAGCCCCCCCTGGGTGGGAAAATCAAAAGAGAAAGGAGGAGAACAAAACTGTACACGAATAAATTTAGCAGCAAGTTAAAATATACGGTGATAGAGGAAGGATCATTTGGAGTAGTCTACAAAGGATGGTACAAAGGAATGCATGTCGCTGTGAAGGTACCAGTAGACAAGATGGCCAGGCAAGACCCCTACGGATTAACAAAAAGGTCCATAAACGAGTGGAGAATTTTATCAAAATGTGATCATCCAAATATAATCAAATTGTGTGGAGGAATCATACATAGCTATTTCGACATTTGGCTAGTCACCAAACTAGTGAACGGATTAGACCTGCACACGATAAAGAATAACATGAAGAAAGACGACAAGGCAATGAGTATTGATGTGTCTTTGAAGATGTGTAGACAGCTAGCCAATGTTATTAACTTTTTACACACACCGATAAAGAACAAAAAGGATGTAATCATCCATAGGGATATAAAACCAGAAAATTTAATAATTGACAATGACTGGAATATACACCTATGCGATTTTGGAGACTCAGAAGAATGCGAAGATGGAATCGTAACGAATGTGTCTGGTGCCACATGGATTTATGCTCCTCCAGAATTGCTGACATGTCACCCGCTCAGGCAGAGCAGCGATTACAACTTTTTGGACCACACGAAATTATCCTACAAGTGGGACATCTGGTCCATGGGATGCGTATTTCAAGAAATGATGAATTTGCCTTCTCCCTTCCAACATTACATTATCACTTTTGATGAGTCGGATCAGATTTATGAAAAACTGGTCGATGTTTTCACCAGGAAGTTGCCTCCCTGTATTCATTCTAAGATTGAGAACTCTCCCTTCGCCGACATCATTCGGTTGTGTTTGAACTACGACCCGAATTTGCGCCCCACGGCATCCGAAATTGTTCAGCTGCTTAACCAGCCGGACGAGTACCTGCTGCTGAAGAGGGCGTAGCGGCGTCTGCGCAGTGTGGCGAAAGGGGCAGATAGAAGAAGAGGAGGACCCACCCCATCAGTCGCCCTCGTGAGATAAGACCTCCGGGCACTTTTTTTTTTTTTTTTCTATTCACCGCACCTCGGACATGTTCACTTCGTTCCTTATCAGTCATGCGTCTTTTCACGTTCATTTTAGGGCAATTTTATACGCCCGTTTTTTACGCCTTTTTTATACGCCCATTTTTTTACGCCTCTTTTGTACGCCTTTTTCACGCCTCTTTTGTACGCCCCTTTTCACGCCTCTTTTGTACGCCCCTTTTCACGCCATCCATTTAACCTCTCCAACTTCATCACCAACACCCCCTCCAATTCAACCCACTCGAACGAGAAAATCGAAGCGACGTCGTGTACCCATTTGGCACACAGAGGAGTATACAAAATGCCATTCGTTTGAGTTAAAAAAAAAAAAGTGTCATTCGTTTTTTACGCCAAATGGGAGGAGTGCGCAAAAGAAAAATCCCCCCACCGGGCCGCCCCTTTGTGAGGGTAGCCAAACCGGGTTGTCCCGTACCCTTTTACAATGCATTTATTCGAAAGTTCCCTCTCGACGCTTCCACTGTTAATATGTGACCGCTAGGCCTGGCTAAGTGAGCCGATCGACCAGACGCCCGAAGTTCCTGCACAGGTACGCCGAATCGGGTCTACAAGTGGGTTCCGGGTTAAGGCACTGCCGCATGACCAGTAGGACGTTACTCACGACCAAGTGGAACAGCTCCCTATTAGGAAACTTCCCATGCAGTTTGTCCACATCGATGTAAATGTATTTCTGGTGAAAGCAAGTAGCCATCCAGAAGAAGGATGGCATGTAGTCACTCATGAAGGGGAGGCCACCAAACAGAACTTCATACATAACGACGCCAAATGCGTAAATGTCACACTTATCTGTGCACTCTTCTTCTCTTAATATCTCTGGAGCGGCATAGGGGTCACTGCAACGGACATTTCGCCTGTCGAATTTTTTCCCCTGGAACAGTAGCAAAGGAGAGGTCATCATGGTGTTTATATTTTTTACTTCATTGATTGAGGTTATGTATGGTAAAGGCAAATTCATTTTTTCCCCTTCCAGGTTGTTATTCCTCCTGGTAGCTTTGCTCCTTCCCTGTCTCGTACTGATATCACCTGCTTGGCGGTTTCGCTTTTCACTGTTTCCCCGGCGGTACCATGGGTCGTCTGATTCGTCGAAGGGACTCCCCCCCGATGATGCATTCACCTTATAATCGTAGTAACTCTCTATGGAGGCCTTCTCAAAGTTACACAATTTGATGCCTCCCCCGTCTTCCGACACGAATATATTTTTGCTGCTTATATTTCCATGAACCACACGTTTGCTATGTAGGTAAAATAAGGCAGCCGCGATTTCGTAGAAAAGTCTGATAATATTCCCGTCTGTTAGTCCCTTGCTGCTCTCCCCACGTGGTCCCTCTGCTCCGCACGTTTGTCTTTGCCCCTGTGGAGCGTCCCTTACGGTGTATATCGCGTCGTGGAGGCACATCCCGCTGAGAAACTCAAAAACCAAACCGAACTTTTCCTTTTTCCTACTTATAACGTTGCCTATATATTTGATCACATTGGGGTGCCTCAAATTTGAGAGGACGAAATGCTCCTTCATGAATTCTGTTCTTCGTTGGATCCTTTCCATCAGGGTTGCTGCTTCGTCCTGTGCTCCTTCATTTTCAATTTTCTCCTTCTGTTTCTTTCCTTCCACTTGGGCCCTTGGATGGAGGAGATCCCCTCTTCTCAACCGCTTAGACATTTCAGGCGATTCCAGCTTCTTCAGGCCGACCAGGTTACCTTTGATTCTGCCCCAATGCTCTAAGATGCTTTCCCCTATGATGTTAAGCTGCCTTTCATCGAAGAGAAACTTGTGCGGGGCGATCAGGAGGGGGTTATTACCCAAGTGGGTGAGCGCCCCTTCGATGGTGCCATCATCACAGGGGGAAGCACCCGATTCGTCCTCCCTAACTGGACTGGAGTCACCATCTCGTATGTCATCTCGCTCCTCACCAGACGCCCCTGTTCCCGATCGGCATGCTTTCCACTCCTTCCCGGAAAACATTTTCAACCTCACAGGGGCGTCCGCATAGTAACACAGGTATGATGCCTTCCCAGAGCCGTGTCTGCCCAATCGGCTGAGCAGAAACAACTCAGATTTTGGGATCGAGCTGAAGGTTACCAATGAGTCCCCTCTTATGTTCCCCCAGGGGAGGAGCATCTTCAGGTACGTATTATGTAGACTGCTAAATGCGTTTACAAAATTGAGCAGGAAGTAAATGTGCTCATGTTTATCCACCCCCAACATTCTGAGAATCTTCCGATTGAGCGTGAAAAAGTGGAAGCCATTCATATGGTTGCACTTGAAGGTCGCTATGTACTTTTGCAGGCCAAACAGATGAAGAAGAACAAATAAGTGATAACTCCGCCACTGATAGATGCACTCTATTTGGTTCTTCTCGTTTTTGTATTTTAAGTAGCTCAGCAGGCGTCTCAGGGTTGGCGGTATCTGCTCTGTTAGCGGTATTTGCCTTGTTAGAGGTGTTTGCCCCGTTAGCGGTGTTTTCCGTGTTAGCTGTCTCTGCATGTGAATCTGTCTTTGCATCCGCATCTGCCTTTGCATCCTTCCCATTCCCTTTTTTGGCCCCGCAACGTCTTCCCCGCGGAGAGTGTTCCTATCAAGTGCCGCCTTCCTTGATCCACACTGTGTCGAATATCCCCTCTCCCACGGGACATCCCTACACTCTGCAGTCGATTCACTGGGATCATTCGATTGGGCACCTTCTCCTTTGGACCCGCCACAGCCCAGCTTAGAACATCCCCTCGCAAGTAGCTTATACAGTTTTAATCTCCTTCCTTTCCCCTGTCTCTTCTGTTTTTCTATGCTCTTTTCGCTCGCACCGATGTTTGAATGGAGAACTGAACGAATCGGCGCCGATATTCTCTTCTTCACTTTAAAGTGCCGTTCGGGGGAGGAGGCAGTAGAGGGAGTCACGTCCGGGCAGAACTCGCTGCCGCTTTCCGAGTCGGACTTATAAAGAAGGTGCGTCAATTTAAGGTGCGGAGTGCATTCGAGAAAATCATCTGAGTTATAGAAACAGTTTGCACCCCCTAGTGAGTCTTTCACAAAAAGAGGGCATCTTTCCTCATTACTTGTGCGACGTCTTCTTGAACCTTTTGCAGCCTCGCTGGAGAGGAAATCCCCCCGTGGATCCATATCCTCATGAAATGGAAAAAGACTAGAACCATTTCTCCGCTGGTTAGTCTCCCCCTTGTGAAAGGAATTCCAGACTGAGTCCTCCGTGCTGCACACACTACGGTCAGGTTGTCCCTCGTTCCCTATTCCTCCTTCCGCCCCTTTTCTGATTAGCCCCTTGAGAAAATTCATCCTCGATTCATAGTTTACGTAGCTTAGGAAGCCTCCACTGGGGCTGCCCTCGCCCGCATTTCTGTCTGCATTTCGGGTCACATTTCTGGCCGCATTTCCATCCCCCTTTGTAAAAAATCGCCAAAACGATATGTCTACGGCGAATAGGTGGTCAAAAATTTGCTTGCGTACCAAACGTGAGATGGTACTGTCAGCGTACACAGGGAAAAAGGCACTTAAATTTTCCTTCAAAAAAAGTCTGTCCTTTTTATAATAGTGAAGATATATGTCCATATATTTGGTTATCTTAATTTTGCATTTCTTCCTGTTCGATTCGAACAAGCAGAAGTTGTAACTGCTGTTTTTTTTTAAAATGCCCACTCCATTCATCAGTCCAAATTTGTACGTCCCAAGGAAGAGCCGCTCATTTGTGTACGTGCATCCAAACCCGTGGGAAATGTTGTTCAGCCATTCGCCTGTATGATTCAGAAGTTTTTTTATTCATTTAATTTATTTTACTTTATTTTTCTCTCTTTTATTTTATTTTTATTTCTTGTCAGAGCATTAGAGGCAAAGACTCGCTGCGCAAAAATGGCAGTGTCACCCAAATGGCGGCGCTACAAAATGGGGACCTCTGCCGCACTCACCAGAGTAGACAATTCCTTGCCGGTTATACAACGTCCCGTAGCCGCTTTTCGCATTTTCGATCCATTCGCTACATGGGAAGGGGGGTGAAGATGATCCACTTGGTGACTATACGGCTGTGGAGCAGACAGGTTGAAGGGGCCCCGCTCCTGGAGTAAATCTCACACACTCGGCTGCACATAGGCGGCAGCACATATATTATTATATGTCTCCCTGTTGGTGTTCATTCCATCCAGTTTCTACGCTGCGTCACTGCGGCGAGTACTCACCCCTGATAGACGCTCCGAATCTCCTTGTAAATGTAGTAGCCATAGCCGTGTCGCTTCCTGTTCTTGGTCGTGCCGAGGTAGACATCCCCATTTTGATATTCTAACTTTGGGAGGAAAAAAAAAAAGAGTGACCCGCGTGTAGACAAATAGGGCAATTGTTCGTAACAGAGATTGCTAGTAGTGTGCAAAGGGGGGGAACCCCGGGTGTGAAAACTACGCGCAGGTAAACATGCGCCGCAAGCAGGCACACGCACAGGGAACACGCGCAGACAACACCATTGTTGTCATCCCCCCAAAACATCATCGTCATTAGCAGGAGAAGCTAAGATAGCGGCATCACTTGCTACGCTGCGAGGCGTGTCACTCCAGTGAACTAACAATTTCGTCGAAGGGCTGGTGGGAGAGTATATCCCGCACGTGGGTGTAAACGAAGTCGTCCCGTTTTTTACACTTTCTGAGGTAGTCTTCCCTTCGTATTCTCTGCATGGTGCTGATCGTCTCAAAAAAAAACAGGACTGCCACATAAACGTTTGCAGAGTGAAGCAGGGGAACCACACGGGGGAGGATGCGTCCGTTCCTTTTTCTTCCCTTTCCTATCCTTCTTTTAGCTTCCCTTTCCTTCCCCTATCTTTTTCTTCCTGTTGACACAAAACGTTTGAGGTGAAGAAGGCGGATTTAAAAATATGACCCTACGTCGCCTTTTGCCAAACGGTCTGGTCCACGCATACGATCGAAGGGGGTAGAAGAGCGGCGTCAACTGCCCCCTCAGGAGTTTTTCCGAAGTGGAGCTATCCCAGTTTTGCTGCGGAACTATCACTCCTTGTTGGCGCCTTGTGCATTTGAAAAAAAAAAAGAAGGGGAAGCACAACACAGCACAGAAGTGCATAGCGATGGCAGGTTTATACGTATGGCAGGGGACACCGTTTGCGCCATTGCTCCTTTTTTACACAACATACACCTTCAGCATTCTAGATTGGCTAACCCTTTGGAGGGGGGGAATGACGGCACCATTTTTTTCACCACCTCACCTGAGGTTGAATTCGCACCATGCGGGAGGTCACCCATGTCGCAGCAGTGCACAAAGGAGGTTCTCCCGGTTCGCATTACGATGTTGGGGCGTGCACGGGTTTGTATACTGGCAAAACGGTAGAACGTAGGGCCACATTTGTAGAGATTGACCCGGGGAGAGGATTGCGAGGGGGGGAACTCACTCACCCTTCCACTGTGAGAAGTTCACGCAGACATGGCAAACGTGTGCGGGTAAGCCAAGTGAAAGTAGAAGCGAGATTCACTCGTCTCTTCTTTGTTCACGCACATGCGACTGATCTTCATTGTACGCGCACTGTGCAGTGCAGCAAGTAGGGTGTCGGAGACCCACTTCCCCCTTTTTTCCCCACTTTGCAGGGGGCCATAATATCATATTATAAAATAAAGCAAACAGATGCGGACTAGGCTACCGCGCCTTGGAAGCACAACGGCGGTAGCCACAAAGACTAGGGACCTTTGCTCTGCTCTGGTCTCCGCTCCAGAAGTGGCAACGGGAGGTAAGACAAAAGAGATTTGATTAGCATTTTCCTCAGCATGTTTTCTTTTTTTTTTTATTTTTTTCCTCCATGGGTTAAATTAAAAGTTTCTTAAAAAGGAAAGGGAACTTAACTTATTTGTTCTCATCGCTACAAAGATAAACTCTAGATCGTAATCGAAACGTTGGAAAAAAAAAAAAAATTAGCATAGAAAAGGGCAGTGGAATGATGAAGGGGGGAACAGACGGGTGAGGCTGAAAAATGAAGGAACAGATAAAGGAACAGGTGAAGGAACAGATAAAGGAACACATGAAGGAACACATGAAGGAAAAAATGAAGGAAAAAATGAAGGAAAAATTGGAAGAAAAAGATGAAAAAAAATTATCAAAAAGACGATATGATCGGAAAAAAAAACTTAAGGTGTAGCAAAAAATAAATTTCTTTCTAAAAAAAAAATAGTTCATACTTCGTAAAAAAAAGAACATACTAAAAATTTCCCTTTTGTTTTTTCTTTTTTTTTTTTTTTTTTGTTTGGTAAAAAAAAAAAGAAGCCTCCTGTTTAAAGCCTCCTTAAGCTCCCTGTAAAAGCCTCCTTCAAAGCTTCCTGTAAATCCTCCTTTAAAAACGGTGAAGATATATACACGTGGCAGGCTTCGAGCACGCACAGGGATGTATATTCTTGTCGGTAGTCGTGGCGTAAAAGAGAGAACGGGGGTACAGGTTCAGTCTACACGTTCGGTGCGGTGTATGTTTGTGTAGGTGGGACGACAAACGTGGCCCCACTCTCTTTTTCACCTCCATTGGTTGCCTTCTCGACGCTTTCTAGTCGTGCCGAACCGACCCCTCAGTCGCAGAAGGTCTGGTCGGTCTGGATGATAAATGGCCAACTGAGGAGGGATGGCTCGTATCCAGCCAAGTAGAGAGAGTTCAACAATTTGTTGTAGGTTTCGAGGAGGATGGTTCTGTATTTGGACAAAACGATCATTGGTTCGCAAGATTTCTGTCCAGCGATGATAATGTGTTCATATTCACCCTGCTCGTTCGCTTCAGCATAGACAATGTTGACATTGCTGTTGAGAAGAACCTGTTGGTTGCCTTCCACTAAGTAGATGCTGGCATTGAACTCGTCAACGGTCGTGGTGTTTTCATCAACAGGTTTGTTTAAAATCAATTTGAAGGTCATTTCGGACTTCTGCTCTCCGAAGAGGTAGTTTCTGTCACAAGAGAAGTTGATGAGGATGTAGGCTAAGTTGCCATCTCTTTTGAGGCCTGAAAAGTCATATTTGGTGCATCGGCACAGTAATCCTGGGAAGATTTTGTCTGAAGCGTTCGTGGCAATTTCATAAAAGGTTCCTTGCACCTGCTTCAGGTCGATGTTCTTCGTGATGACGTGAATAATTCCATCCTGCGCGGAGGGGAGAGTAAAAAAGGGCCAAAAGGGCAAACGTGTGAGAAGTCAATTCGGTAGAAAAAACGTACAAAATGGCAACGCAGTGGGGGGAGGCCCCATTGATTCCTTCCACACGGTTGCCAACAGGCTTAAGGTACAGGGTTCAACATGTAGAGTAGAAAGTAGCGTCTCATAAAAAGAATTCAACCCTTTAGGGAAAACTGAGCGCCTTCATTTTTTTTTTTTTTCTATTTCCCTCTATGTATCTCCTCTATTTGCTTTGCCTTACATTGTTGGGGGTGTCGGAAGTCCTCACAGAGGAAAACAACAAGAACATGAAAAAGAAAAAAACTTTGGCAATCATTTTCACAAAATTGTAAGGATATTATAAATTGGTTTTTCCTTTTTATCGGAATGAGGGCCTAGAGGAGGAAAAGGTTTTAAAAAAATTAATTCTACGCGTATGATGGGGAGGTGGGGCAAAGAAAAAACGCCTCTTTCTTCAAGTGCTTCCTAAATGAGCTAAATTGAATTAACGAAATAAACTGAATTGAATTAACTAAATAAAATAAACTAAATAAACTAAACTAAATAAATTAAATAAGCTAAATTAAATAAACTAACTAAATAAGGTAAATTAACTAAATTAA